ATAAGCTCGGTGGAAGATATCTATCATCCACTCATTTTGCTGTGATGTATAAATAACTTGTTGCGCGTTTATTCAATTCACACAGTTTCTCGTAACTAGCTAGCTATATACTATATACAATAATAGAAAAGGAATATGTGTTGAACGTGTCATTTTTTTTATGTACTTACATCCTAGCGCAGGCCTAGCCACCTATAATAGCGCATATCCTAATAGCGCCTATCTGCGGCTGGGTGCAAATGCATAAATTAACTAAGCCCAAGCAAGCGTGGCTATGATTATTATAAACTATCGTATGACATAATTTCGCAATTAATTTTGTATATCTTGCGATCCAACGATCATGCCACACGATCAAACAAGAACAAAACATAGATCGTGCGTTTTCAGTTTTTCAACCACGTGGTTAAAATAGTGTGAGCTCGAGTGGAAATGTTTTTAAAATCCATGGCGGTCTAAATATACGGATTATCATTCGGCCTTGACTGTTTGATTTTGACATGTTCATTGATTCGAATAGGTTCTTGTTTTGGTTCTCGTTTGATCTGGGCTTAGCCTTACATGAAACTCAAAGCAAAAGTCTTGAAAAACGATCTTGAACTTAAATCCATCATCAAGGCGAAATTTTGTTTAAAATGAGAACTAGGCTCTTGGGCATCGTGTTTGTAAATTTTGTCAACGCTGTTCGTTTCACTTTTACAAATAGAAGATCGTTTTAAGAGCAGTTTGCATCGAGCTTGCATGCTTACATTTGTTCACAGACGTCAACTAATTATCTATATCTTAATGTCCGTTAACCATATTGTAAATATCTAAAGGCCTAGTGCGGAGTTCGTATGCTTGTTGAGATGCATTATACAATACGTCTATTGGGTATAATAGCGCAGCGCTACGTTCTCGCCAAACTTTGCCTGGGACTAGCCTAAACAGGGTTTCCGACTCGTCGAGCGGGGCTAAGTGAATTAAATGTGCCTCTAGCTGATCGCTTGTGTAGCGCGCAACCTTGGCTAGAAAGAAACAAATATTGTCAGCGGTTGCTGCAGGATCGAGCAATGCGTATATGTCGCCAACGTGCGGGCGCAAAACCATCTCCTCGTCACCTAATGCGGGCGCGCCTTCGTTCTCATCAGTTATCACGGACGTCGGCTTGGCCAAAAATATCTGCTGCCATTTTCCTACGCAAAAGCTCCCTAGCTGGTTGTGTCTTTTGCTGCGCTGTCGTATCGTCGTAAGTGTCTTGTTGATATCTTAGGGAATGTTTCATTAATCTAGCAAGGGACTCCCTAATCTTAAGGTCCTCGGAATCTTCTAAGGTCTTAAAGTATGTTACAATGGAATGCCGTAATGCATTTGTGGAGACACGGATACTTACTTCTCGGCCAAATAAATCTCCAAGATACTTGCACAAACTAGAACTATCCCTAAATGGTTCTCCGGTGTAGTTGAGAAAAAAGTAGGCATGCGACTTAGCCTGCAGGAGACTGGGCCTAGCTAAATTGTATTGATGCAAATAGTACCGGGTATCCCAAAAAAAAGTACTCCGGTTTGATTCGTAATAACTTCTAAACAAGTAAAGCTTTTAATGAGAAATAACTTGCATCAAATAGAGGAATGACTAACTTAGATTTTGATATATTACAGTTGTATTTCACTAAAATATTCACAGAGATATTGATGTTTAAAATCGGGAGCATATTTCTGGATGTGTCTGAAATATGCAAAAAACGGCGTATCAAATATTAATCAAGATTTGCCCGACTGAAACATGCACTATTACCAATAAATAAATGACACTTGACAAATCGTTTATTAGGAAACAAAGTATTATTATCTACAAAATAAAAGCAAGATTTATTCGTCCGAAATCCGCATGTGTTCCCAGCACGAATACGTTTCCTTATTTCATGAGACCACTGCATCGCGAAGGTTCGTCATGGATCGTTGGTAGTTCTGAATTAGGGCATGCTGTCACAATGGAATTGCGAATTTTCTAACTTCACATTGAATGAATTTTCTAACTTCTGCAACGTTCTGAAATCGTGTTAAGAACACCCAAACTCTTTTGCCTTTCTTAATCTTGGCAAGTTCAGAATAAACTGAGAATGAAACACGATCAAACCGTACAACTCCATAATTAAAGACATAACAAGCAACTCCCCAGAGACATCCAACATTTTTGGAACAAAACGTAACAAAATAGTAGCGTTAATACTGTGATGTGTATTTGCAAAAAGCAATATCATTTCCTTCATTAAATAATAATATTCATCCTGCTCTAACCAGAAATAATCAACTTTGTTTTGAACCCATGTAAAACATAAAAAAATTAGGCTATTTAAGAAAAATTTAAGCGCCTGCCTTCAAGTTTGCGCCGTACCTTTAAGTTTGCAAAGCCAAAGACCTATTAAATACTTTCATAATTTTGAACGTTCCTATTTCAGGAAACAATGAGCTAAGACTTACATGTAAGATGTCTTAATCTACGCCATATCCCTTACAAACCCTAACGACAATTCGCTGAAATAGCAGTTAGCTTGATATGTCATTAATCAAACAAACGCTGGAGTTAATATTTGATATGCCGATTTTCACTAATTTTAGACACATACCAAAATACGCTCCCGATTTTGAACATTAATATCTCCGTGAATTTTTAAGTAAAATACAACTGTAATATATCAAAATCTAAGTTTGTCCTTCCTCTATTTAATGCAAGTATTTCTGTTAGATAGCTTTAATTGTTTAGAAGTTATTATAAATCAAACCGGAGTACTTTTTTTTGGGACACCCGGTAGACTAATTCTCGGTCTTCTGACAGGTCCATATTAATCGGCCCAGTAGAATTGACTGTTTTGAAGTCATTCTCTATCAAAGACACAGTCGTGTCTTCCCTAAAGACGATAACATTTGTGTCCAGAAACAAACTTGCGTCAAATGGATTCTCCCCTGACTCAACAAAGACTTGTAATGTGCGTATTTCCTTAGACCTGCCCGGGTTGACCCTAATGTATGTTGCCAGCATAACGAAATCATGAAGATGCCTGGCCTTTGCTATGCCCGTTGTTTCGAAAATCTTAGCTCTTAGATTTCTAAGCGTGTCTAGAATATGGTTAAAATAAAATCTCTTCGACGCCTTTTTCATGCACAAACCTTCTTTGCCGCACTTTGCGATCATCTTAGCTTGCCGCGACAACTGCCTTTGATAAGATCTACACGACATAACCGCCTTACAGCTATCTAATGCGCTCCAATCTTCGCGAAAGTTATATTTTATGACGTTAATAATGCAACTAAGATGTGCTGTAATTGTGTTAGGCATTAGTTTTCTAACTTTTGATAGATAATCGACATATTCACAAATTAGCGTGTCCGTGTTAAAAATATCGAGAGTCACAACTGGTACATTCCGGTGATGGATACAGAAATATAAAAAACAATATATTCTTTCGACTAATTTATCTAGAGTTTGTTTCGCGAACGCCGGGCCATTACGTTTGGGGTTCAATTCAATTGTGTAAAACTTACATAGTTCGTTCACTTCAGTGTTTACGATTTCGCGAGCCTCTTGTTTGCTTAATTTGTAGGGAGTCCTGCATCTCTTCCCTGATTGTGGCGTGGATTCATCGCCACTGTCGTTGGTCGCACCACGACTGGAAGGAGGCGTAGGAAATTCTGCTGGGCTGACGGCAACAACTTTACACACTCGCTTTAACGAAGTTTGCGTCGCAGTTTCGACAATCTCCATCTTTTGCGGCGACGAGGAAGTAACAGTCGAAGCAGCGTTTGACGTATTCAGCGATAATGTAGTTTTCGGTGTCGAAATAGCTCCGTCGTCGTCTTCTGAACTTCCGTCATTGCTATAGACAACCAGTTTGGGTTGGGGGCAAGTTGATGAACGGCGGGCGACTTTTGCACATGTTTTTTAAACTTTCTCGTTTATCAGGCGTTTCAAGTCGGTCTCTCGAATAAGGCCAAACACTGAACTTTTCAATTGAGGGTTGGCGTGTTTGAAAACACGCCTTTCGTCCAGGGTGGGGTATAGCGTTTCAATGTTAGAGTTTCTTAACCACAACCTGACGGTGCTTCTCGAAACATTTGGGAAGATTTGGTTGCACGCTTCAATAAAGCAATACAGTTTCTGTTCTCCTCGTTTAACGAAAGTCAACTGTTTCAACGTTTCCATATGCAGTCTTGCTGTGTAATCTAAAACAAGTCAGGAAAGCCGTGTTTTAATATAATTTTCGTATTAACTTTCTAAAGTACTGGGCGGAGGACTTGAAATATTCGTTCCAGCTTTTTTTTACACACAAAAAATCACGAAATCATTCAATCATTCGAGAAGTAATATTTCAAATCCGACTATGAGGACTGGACCAGAGTTGCAAAAAAGCTGCGGGCACGCGGGCATTGCCCGCGAGGAAGGTTTACCATAGGTGAGGTCAGTGAGGAAGGTTTAGTGGCCAATGGTTGCTACCACTAAAAGAGTAAAACAAATAAGTCATGGTTGAATAAGGCAGTTGAGGCTGACAAGTTGTGGTGGCACTATTGTGATATAGTACCTATACCAGATGACTATGACATTGGAGAATACTGAGAAGACAAATAACTGAAAATATTCTGTAAAATTAAAATGTGTAAGTGTCAAGCATCAGAGGTGCCTTAGGATTCTCATCACCGTCCAACTGTATTTTAAGAGCCGTGTTAAAATTTTTTATATTTTGTTATATAATATAAATGTAGCGCCCGACAAAATATTTCAAGACAGTTAAGGTATTTTATATTTTCAAACAAACAGAAAGTTGAAAGAAATTTCATTGCATTTTACAGGAACTTCGCATTTAGTTCAAGGAGATATGTTGGAAATGACAGAAATGTGTACTGTAATATGTTTATTTTGGTTTATGACACTTCACTACAGAACTCACAGAAATATTAAATGTTAGGAATTCTTTTTTATTTAATGAAATAAATCATCAATGTTGTAGCAACTAAACATTGTAATAATTATATAAATAATGGCCTTATAAACAAAGTTGAGGAAGAAATTTTAGCATGTGTGATGCGAGTCGGACAAAAAAAGTACAGCTTAATTACTGAGTTGTGTAGCTGTCATACACATTTAATACAGATCAACAATATATTGAGGTCCTATAATCGAAATCATTATTTACATGCTTGATACCTACACTGTCAATTCCCACAAACTATATAAGTATATTGCAGGATTGGCAGCATCTGGTATGGAGATATATTGCCATTGCCATTGCCATTGATTTTCAACCACTCCAAACATTGCCATAAACTGTCATGCAGGGCACTATACGGCTTGGTTTAAATTTAGCACTTTGCCTCAGAAACAAGTGAGAGCATTCACTGCCTCACTGATTGTGAAATTGGGCAATTGGGTCAAACGTCTGAAGACCTAAACACTCTCAAATGCCTTTCAAAACCAGAAGTACAGTAATATCATTTTTTAATATTATTTTATCATTCAATATATGATATAGGATGTTGACATAGTAGGTAAGGACTATCCAATTTGTCCAAGGTATAAATCTATTATGGCAAATTTATATATTAGAATCATGTACTGTGTGTTATGCTTTCAGAATCAGTTAAGTTTATATACTCTAGTATATTGTTATTTGATGAAACCATATCTATTTAATTTATTTTGAGGAAGGTTTGAAAACTTTAATTAACTTAATCCGCGCAATTTGATCACGTCCAGGGCGAAGCCGAGGACTCTTAACTCATTTCGATGCAGTCCAGCGACTGAATTGATTTTGACCCAAATCCCTAATTAGGGGCCCAGTTTTACTTCGTCAAATATCCATTATTGTCCATGTAAGCAAAATAAGGCAATATGGTTGGCTAATTTACTCATGAATTATTTATTAATGACTTTGAGATGTCGAATTCAAAGGCCTCGAAAGAGGAGGTTTGCTCCAGTCCTCGGTTTCGCCTCGAAGTAAAACAAATCGTCGTACTTGAAACCCGGTCAAGCCCTGTCTCGAGACCTTTATTAATACACTTCAATTTTTTTCTATAGTCAATTCGACCTTGCCGAAATATGCACTAAATAATTTTAGCCGGGACCAGTCTCAGCACAAAACTGAAAATTTCCATAGCAGAAATAAAACCTAACCCTAACCCTAACAACGTTTCTCCTCGCCCTCCTAGATGCTGGAGTTGAGTTCATCCGAGTCGTGAATTTCGGCATGAAGATGAAGCTGAACACCTTCCCAAATCTGCCAAGAGACCTTCTAGACTGCCAAGCTGAAGACCATGGATTCCCGCCAAATGAATGGGACATTTCGTTATCGCGGCGAACCGGCTACCTCTACCTAATCAAATCGCATGCACCATATCCCCTTCATGTAACACCAAACCCGTATCCCATCCTTACACCACTAAATCCGAACCCAAGAGTCACCCTTGGTGGAAACCTGAATCTTGCCATTACAGATGACGGCCCTATAAAATTCCTAAAAATCTACAACCTCCAGTACCACCTTCTGAGAGCTTCCAACACCCAGCCACTAAATGCCCCAGTGACAACAAGAACAGGGCGGACGCATATTCGAGACCATGTTTTCTATCCTCGTGGCAATGCAGGAGTCAAGAGAACTCATTGGGGGACTCCGAATGGAAGTTCGCGCGGTGTTCAACCACCATATCGATGCGATTCAGCATATTATAATGCATCACCTGTTCAGCCCGGCAAGCTTTGACGTCCAGACTACGTGCAAAACCATTAGTGTTGGTGAATATCTGCAAGATGCCCAACGTCTCTTTCGTAACGCCAGGCAAATTCTTGCTGCGGGTGGTGTTATGAGGCACGACGTTCAAAGGGAGCTGACTCTCCGAGAAAAAGCCATGCTCGGAGACTTGAAGCTATTGCTGGGCTACCGACATGCGGGATACAGATCGGACCGTACAATTGGACGATATTGGTGGTTAAATCGCAACCCAGCTCCACCCATTCCACCACAGGTACCACCACCTCAACAACCTCCCCATGTCATCGACCTAGAGAGTGAAGACGAGGACCAGCCTCCCGCTGCTGATGATCGCCCAGTGAGACCGCAACCACCGCCTGCCAACCTAAACAATCAGCTGATCATACTGGCAAGGAACAATCGTTCTAATGATGGAAGAAGACAAGTTAGTTGGCAAGAGGTACACCGGTTGTTCTCAATGCGACACCCTGAAATTAACTCATCAAGGAACCAGTTAAGAAACAGGGTTAGATATCTACAACAAAAAAACCCGAACTTGTTGGAGTGAACTCTTAAACTGGATTATGTAAATAGTAAAACGTAGGGAAAATGTAAATAGTATAACATTCATATTTAAACAAAAAAAAAACCCCAAAATCTTATTGTTTTGTTTGCTCCATAGGGTAAAAAAAAAATCAAAAAACTTTAAAAAAAAAAAATAAAAAAAATTGCGTATTCATACTCCGTTTTCCAGTCCAAAATTTTATGAGTCCAGTTTTCATGAATCCGGTCTTTTTTTGTCATCTGTCAATCAAGATACATACTAAGAACTCGAGTGAGAAATCTGGATTCTGGACTGGGACTGGAGTATGAATCCGTTTTTTTAAAACGTCGATTTCTCCATGAAAAAAGCCTTTTTTCGTCAATGACATGGTAATGAAAGTTGCTTAGAATCTTTAGTACTACCTATTACCAAACTTTTTCAAAAAATTACCAAAAATGGGAAACAATTTAAATTTTCAAACGGCTCTAAATCCATGAAAAATCACTTTTTCGCTACATTTTTTCGACAGAAATGCTTGTTTTTAAAAGCTCTTTCATTTACAAAAAAAAAAAAAAAAATTGGGGGAAATTTTCGGGTCAACTTTTCACTCATCTCACCATAACTCCGCCCCCTTTCAACCGATTTTCTTCAAACCAAGTTTAGAATGAATCCCTGAGGGCTCTGGAACACTTTCCCTCTTTGCTTTTTTTGAAAAAAAAACTTTTTTGACTTTGTGACGTCATAGCTCCGCCCCCTTTGGGTCAATCTTCACCAAACTTTCCAGTAAGTAAATTCAACTATCCTACTATCATGCTACAAAGTTTCGTTCAAATCCGATAAAAGGAACCCCTTCAAAAATGGATTCCCTCTTTGAGATTGGATTTCGGCCGGCCACTCTAACCCTAAATCGCTATTCCTCATTGTAATCAGCTAGAAAAATTATAACCCTAACACCTAATTACTAACCCTAAATCCACTTATTCCTCATTGTGATCGGCTAAGAAAATTCTTACCCTAACACGTAATTACTGGCCTAAAACCATAGCCCTAAACTGCATGATAAATGCACACAGAAATATATCTAGTTTAGAAACGATTTCTGTGCGCAGAATTCCTTCCAATATAACCTTGTTGCCTTCTGACAGAGGCCTCAACGCATGTTGAGCATGAAAATTATCTCTGTCCTGGGGCAGATTCACTCTCTGGAATATGATTTATCACATGCCGGAAATTGTTTCAGGTTCAACTCACTTCAAATGCCACGAGAGCACAACAAAAGCTTTTAATACGGCCAAGTTTAATATTCACGTTCACAAAATCTATACAACTGCGTATTTTGCTGGCCCAGTTTAGACAAATGATGATGTTTAGACCACGTGCACAGTTACTAACACCAGAAACATAAGCGCCTAATCTACGAGGCGAACACCAAATAAGGCATTCGCGCACAAAGACAATGCTATAAGGCACACAGTGAGATTATAAAATATTAGGCAGTAATTTACGTGCTGAATAGAATATACTAAACAGCTTTTCAAGACACAAAGCACATTTAACAAAATGCTCAATTTAAGTGCATGCTGAATAGTTGAAAAATCTCACATTACAATATTTTACTTACAAGTCGGAAAACTTCGTTTTTGAAACGTGGTAACACAGGCGGTTCATTTCATTTGGAGATTTTTAAACTCATACAACACCTATAATTGTGAAATAAAAACAGATTAGTTGCCGCCATATACAACAAAATTATCTAGTAAATCTCTGCGCGCAATAAATATTCTGCGCGCAATAAATATTCTGTGCGCAAACAGAAATTTCCGTAGGCAACAAAAATTCCATAAGCAAACGGTTTACCAAATTTATATCAGACTTACCGATAACATGAGCGTTATGTTTTGAATCGTTGAATCATAAATTTGTAGATTATTCTCCACGACTTCAGTTCACCTGAATCATAATTAAACAGAAAGTTAGCTTTAGTCACAACACACATCATTAGTTAGAAATAACATATACAACGCGTGTCAAAAGACAACAAACCTGGTATTCAATCCCGAAGGTTCAGAGAATGCGAAAAAGAAGGATTCATTATCACAAACCCCAGTCCTTAGTATGCTAGTTGCATTCACACAATGAAGCAAATTACGATTACCCTAGCGTTATAAAGTATATAATTTCATAGTTTTGGATGCCTAATAATGAATATACAATGTATATTACTTTATGTGATTCACAAAACATGACATACAAAATTTCTGAATTTTGTTTAACAATTCTAAAGTTTGCTGCAAAGCTTTGGAACGAAGTTTCTGAATCTTGTTTCTGAAATTCTGTCACACACACATATATATTTGTGAACTATTTATTTGATCAGTCATGCTGATGATAGCTAATCAAAATATTCATTCCAAACATGTTTTTATGTAGTGACTCGCAATCATTGCGACAACCTTATCAGCACCAACTTGCACTAAATTTGGTAGGAAATTTGCTATGATGTTCAAACTTCAAATATTGTGATCAATTTTTACATTTATACTGTACACAAACGTACTGCATTGATCTTGTTTGCTAGTGACTTTCCTCCATGCCACACATCATTTTGATGTTTCACATCGTTATACTTGTCTGCTTTTTCTAAAAAATGAACAAACATGAAGTACAGTAGTTACTAGTTACTAGAAATAATTTCATCTCATTTTTTTTCAAATTGGCTGGGCATATTGTTCCCTATTGCTATATGGCTGGGTAACTGAACTTTACAGAAGGTACATATCTCACAGGTGGGGAAATATTTTATTTAACTCATTAAGCTGCAGAGCTTCTCCATTGATGAGTAAAATCATCTGGCGTTAGACAAGTAAAAAAAATAAGTAGGGCGCAGGCACATTGCAGTTCAATAGGTTAAACAGTCTTATGCATAGGTACTTACTCATAAGTGCTGCAATGTCTAAGTGACCATCCTTTACTGACATCTGTGATGTAAGCAGCTTATCCATGCCTCTCTCGAAACCAATCTGTTCCATATTGATGCTCTTTCCAGCAGCTTCCATGATGTTCATTTGCAATATGGCATGATCTCCCATGTCAGCTATACTGTATGTGCAGTATTGTGCTGAATGCCCAGGAGAATCATTCCTTCAATCACCGCTTAGCACAACATCTTTCCCAGACTTTTCCTCCCAAAGCTCCTGCTTGTGGTGTTCCCAGAACTCATTCACAGCAGGGGAAATGTACAGACTCTGGTACTGAGTAAACAGTGTTTTAGAAAAATACTGCAAGTTACAGAATCTGAACATCATTAACCCCACTTTAGTATACAAGTTTCCAGACAACAACAAAGCAGAAGCAAGCATGAGATTCCCAGCTCTTATCTTATCACAACTGGGTTGAGCTGCCCATCTGCTTCCTTTATGACCAGCACTGCATTCCCAGGAAACAACAAGGCATGTACCAACTAGGTCTTGCGATAATCCAGGACATGATCACAGCCAGGTCGTTTACAGATACTCCTATGCAATTCCTTCAGCAATGACATGAGAGTATCAGTAAAAACAATACAATTCTCCATTTGAATAGCTTTCTCTGGAGGTACTGTCATTACAGGTATGTTGTTGGTGTTATCAGTGTCACTTGCTTCAGTTCCATCATCTGCCAGAACTTTGTTTGTGGCCATGAAGTGTTGAACACGTCATCCTCAATGGATACTTCCAGCAGAGGCAATCTAAAATGAACATGTGAGGCCAAAAATCACAATTTGGTTTAAAATAGGTATAGAACATAAGTGTATTGTGAATTAAATGTGTTTAAACTGAACTACTTTAAATTTGGGTATAAAGTATTCTATTCAAACCACTAAGGAGTAGAGAGATAAAACTCTGCAATGTGCAAAATTTCAGTTATAATTAAACAGTGGTGGTGCCAGGAATTTCCCGACAGAGTGGCTATGTTCCCTGACGGGGGGCTATGCAAATTTTTTCATGGTTAAGCGTACAATATATACTAGCTTATTTTATATACTTAAAATGTACAATTTAGCCAGCATGATGCATTCTTTATAAACCAAACAGTGTGGAACACATAAAAAATTCTTATCGTCCCCTATCCCACAAATGTCTACAACCGCACCTACATATTTTTGCATGTTTATAATTCTAATTTTAAACAGCCAACGATGTTTCATTGTAAGGGGCCGACCATTTAACTTTTGAGGGGTGATTTACTGCTGGCAGGGAATTTTTTTCTGGGATCGTTATGTGCAAGATTTTTTTCCCTATCCCGTCACCATGTACGATTTTTTTTGCCACTCTCTTTCGCAGCATTTGTTTTCAATAGCTTATACTATTTAGATTCTTTAATTATAGTTAACGTTGAGTTTTCTAGCTTCATGCATTGCTTTTAATAATACATATTGCTATGAGGTATAACATTTGGTTCAGGGCCTCTTTTAAGGATGTGTAACTGGAGGGGGCATATTTAGCGGGGGACCTGGAGAAGTTCCAGTTGGCAAGTCTGTATCACTGCAGCTACCTGCAGCATATATATGCATGGTTCAACTAATAAGTACACGTCATAGGGCAGCAGATCAGGCCATAACTAGGATTCTGAGACGACCGAGTCGACCACCGAAGGTGCAAGCCTCTAGAGGAGTCTGGGGGCATGCCCCCCAGAAAATTTTGGATTTCTTGAAACTCCGATAAGATATTTCCAGCATTTTGAGGAGTTTTCCAACAAGAAATTAACCTTACACTAGCCCCTGAAAATCAAACCAGCTGATCTTCTGGGACTGGTCAAATCAATCCCTACAACCATGCTGTTTTGCAACATTTTCCCCCCACCAAATACTGTGGCAGGATATTTGCCCCCCCCCCCAGTTTGTTAGTGCAGGTATGTTTTTGTTCAGGAATAGCCTTGCAGGGAATTTTTTCAAAATCTCCCCCCCCCCCGCTCCCTCAAAAGTTAAATGGTCGGCCTCTAATTGTTGCCAAGAACTAGATTGACCGTTTAAAATTAGGCTTGTGAACATGCAAAAATATGTAGATGCAGTCATAGACGTTTGTGGGAGTGACTTTACTCTGACGAGTATCAGACTTATCCAACTCAATGGTTACGGCTGCCTGATGACCAGGCACGTGAAAGTCTTTGTGTTTAGATTTTGTATGCTTCCCAACATAGACGTAGAAAACGTCAGGAAACAAAACCTCATCACAAACTGTGCAACGAACTGTAGAGCATACGGCCAAATACGTTTTTAGAGCGAGTATTGCTTTCCGATTTCCAAATTGGAGTGAATGAGCATTAATATAAATGATTCATTAACGTAATAACATGGGGGAGAACGAGCATAGCGACAAGATCGTGCTTTTCGGAATTCCTTCAAATTTTTTTCTCCGTTTTTCCCAACAAATCTGTTATTTTTCCCCGGGGGGGGGGGGGGGGGGCTAGGGCTCCCCTCCTTGGCACCACCACTGTAATTAAATGATCACATACTCAACACTTGCATTCATGCTCAGTACAGTTGAAGCTGTCAGGGTTGTGTCATCATCACAGCTTTTGTCACCCTTGCTTCCAGTGTATGTCACATCCTTCTATTTGATTTAAAAAATAGAATATACATAAGAAAAATATATAGACTGTTTGGGACAACTATTTATCAAGTTTTTGTAGACAGGGTATTTGAATAAATGTTTACAGAAACTACTTTCAATAGAACACTTTACAAACCTTGTAGACTTGACAGATAATGGTGAACTATCAGATAGAAGATTCCTTCTAGCTTGAGCGAGGCAATGACTCTGTGTGTGAAGCAATAACTATACAAGAAAGTGGATGGATAAATCATTGTGGATACAGTATATTGTTGGTTTATTAACCCATACATTGTGTGCAATCTACAAATTATATCTCGTGGATATCAAGTTTAGGAAACTACACTTCATTTCATCAAACTATAAAAAATAGATTTGTTCTTCAAGTAACATACTTGGCGATGGAAAACTGCTTGTCCCTGTCTGCATAGCTTCTGTACCAGCAGAAAGCATAAGAGGTGTCGAGGTCAACACTGCAAAAACAAAATTTAAAAATTAGGTGCATAAGAATAACATGTTGACACATTTTCACACACTGACAATTGTTTGGTACAAGAGCTAATCTGGCCAAAGAAAATTGTCTGACTCATGAATGCTTCTGAGAGGGGTTGTTGGCATGGCTTCTGGTTCTGTCTGGGTATCCACACTCACACTGCAGGAAAATATAAAAGAAAATGACATAAGATAATAATAAAAGTAAGAAAAAAAGTTTACTAAAGACAAACTTTATCTATTCATGTAAAATCTTACCACAATCGAAACTGTGACTGATATGCATCAAGCAGCATTTCAGCTACATCCTTGTCACTTTGGATGTTTCTTTCCTTTTTAAACTCTTTCCATCATGGAAATATATCAAATAGATAGACTTTACTAGCATCTCTATTCGCAAAATATTTTTTTCTGCTAGCGCCTTTCTTCCGATGGCTCGTACTCGATGACAAATTCGATTCACTCGATGTGGAAGGAGTTCGTTCCGTCATGATGGATATGAATATAAACAATATGGTGCGCGCCAAGCGCTAAACAGTCTGGGAACAACACAAATCAATTTCCAGTGGGGTCCACATAAACAAACACTAAGCACATACGCAGAAAGGACTTTTCCCCTCTTTAATAAAAGGTTATCATAATCATGTAGCTCTAATACACAATTGAGTAGTTTCTTGGAATTAATATAACTGTAGTACTAGTATTTATTTATTTTTCATCTTTTTTTGCAGATATTCTCAGTCACTTATAATGGATGATTGTGAAAAAATGGACATGACCATTTCACATTTTCTTTAGACAGCAGAATTCTGGGTGGACACCCAGAATTCTTGAGGAAACCCAAACTACACATGCTACTGCATTTGCCAGACTATATATTTCATTTTGGTCCTGCCATTGGCTTTGCCACTGAAAGGTTAGATACTATAAGGGAATTATTTATTGTACAGGGGGGGGGGCTGAGGAGAAGCTCTACAGTTATAATATTTTTTCATTGCCCCCCCCTCTTAAGACATGTAGAATTTTCAAAGCCTCCTCCAACAGGCAAAACAAGAACATAAATTTTGGTCCCCCCCCCAACTCTAGCTCTTTATTTAGAGAAACAAAGAGATAATGGGGACCAATAGACAATTCCAATTATAGGCTAATTTTTTATCTTAGCAAAAAAAGTATATTCCCGGATAGCATATACTAAAATTAGTAAAATTGCAAATTTTGGTTGCAAAATGTGGAAAATATGGCCTTCCAAAGTTTGCAAATTTTGTATATGTTTGTATTGCTTGCGGCCGGTAGCAATTACCGCATGCAATACAAAAGTATACCAAATTTGCAAACTTTGCAAGACTATATTTTCCATATTTTACAACATTTTGCAACCAAACATTGCAATTTTACCAATTTTAGAAAGCTCTTTCTAGCTGTGGTGATTTATTTGCATCTCTTTGCCTAGTTTTAAAATCATGGCTAGAAATTTCATACACTCTGCGGCATGGGATTGCAGGCTCATTTGCAAAGAATTTTCAAGGTGGCGGTTCGGTTTTACAATGAGCTAAATAATTTAAGTACTGCTGATTTTTACACACAATCTACCAAGAAGACAGGGAAATATTATGAAGTGGAGAGGGTAATTACTCGACGAATCAGAAAGAGGAAAGTAAGTCAATTGTAATATTAATTCGCTTGTTTTTTTCAAGTATTCAAAATCGTGATATATCTTGCAATATTTATATTTATTAATATACTCAGCCGGATTAATTTCTCAAAAATCTTCCCCGTGTGTAGCAGTTGTGCTGTGTAGCTCTGTAATGGTTTTTTCATTAAGGTACTTGTATGGAAATGTTAAATATGTTGAAATATTTTTTATCGAACATTCAACAATCCTATCAAATACAATCCCTGAATTAGTGAGTGCTGGGATTGAAGCCCTCCACATTGCAATTTTAGATCATTTGGCTTCCAAGAGTATGGTGCCAACTATCATCCCGTTCAGGCACAATGTGTTTCGCTTTCTTTTTGTTGACAAATGGAGAACAAGCAATGACGACAAAGTTATCTGTCTTGACAAGGGGGACTTCACCAAGTGTTCATGGCCAGTTAATTGGGATTGGGTTGTAGATCGACTGGGGGATGGTGTGACATGTGAATACCCAATAATAATGAGATTGTTTGTCAGCCAAAGTCCACGAAACTACAAATTAATTGATGGAAAAATTGAACAATCTCCTCGTTATTTTGCTGAGAAGCTAAGTGTTAAATGTCGAAAGCAACCGTTCAGTTTAACAATATAATATATGCTTTATTAATATACAGTAATAATACAATTTAATTAAACAAGAGGGTTGCTTATAGGGAAGCAAGCAGTCATGATACTCTGAGCTTATAATTCTGTGTACTACTAAAACAATCTCACTGTGAGTATTTGCATCTAATTAGCTAACTGATAACAGACTAACAGGAAAAAGCTTTGTTACAAGTACTATAAAGGTAGCTTGCTTCTATATAAACAACCCAAAATATATTTCATATTGAGATGACATTGTTAATAAGATAATATATGTATCATTAGTATCAGCAGACTTTATGTAGCTAATCATCAGACTTTCTGCTCTTGTTCTGCCTTTGCTCGGTAAGACCAAATTCTCAATAGTCGTTGTTGTGCTTTGTATATACTCTTTTTGAACATTTTTGATCTTTTAGTTCCCACAACAGAGATTCATGCTTCAGAACATTTTCTGTGCTGTTTCATTTATTTGATTTGCACAGAACTGTAGTTTTGGCAATATCATTGTTTCATTCAACCCCTTGCCCTGTAAAACTTTTTATTATATTCATTTTGAAATCAATGGTATTTCCTGCAATCTGATTGGTTCACAGGAGTGCGATTTCAGCACAAATCGCACTGTGATTTGTGCTGAAATCGCACTGCTGTGAACCAATCACATTAGAGTGCTGACTTCAGCCAACCAATCATATTTAATCATAGGATTCAAACAGCCAATCAAATTTAACAAAAATGTGTTATGGCAAATGAGCACAAAAACAAAAAACTTACATATGTCATGAATATGATTTAAAATTAAGCAATTTTTGCACATAAAAACAAACTAATATGGATAGCTAAAGTAAACTATCAAAGAATTGCAAATTTTCAAATTTCACAAATAGTAACAGGAAATTAAGAACATAGATCTTCTATCAAATGTGGTCAAAATGGCAACAAAAGCAAATTTAAATCAGGGAAAACAAAGGTAAATTCGCCTATCATATTTCCAGTTTTAAATGCACAAAACTGCAACAAAACTCTTCAAATCACTCGTAAAACCTACAATTATCTTTAAACTTACTTGTGCTGTCTCTTATTCTTTATAAATGTCTTCATTTCTTTAACAGTTTAGATTTTTGAACATATAAACTATATAATTACAAAACCTGATCTTGTTCGCTTTATATTGTTGCTATGCTACAGCACTCAGGGAGGTACTGGAGGTGTGTCTTTTGCAAACAAAAACGTTTCCGGTTTACAAAAATGTTTAAGATTTCAAAATGAATATAATAAAGTGGAAATCGAACTTCGTGTCATGCAATTTTGGACTGAAATCAAACTTGTGATTACAAATCGCACTCCCGCTTCGTGGTCATGCGATTTTGTAATCACGTGTTTGATTTCAGTCCAAATTGCACTCCACTCAGTTCAATGACCATTATTAATTGTTTTATAAATGCCTCAAAAATTGGGGAACATGGTACACACCATAGCATGCATATACGGTGTTATATTAGCTTTTTTGTAACCAATGGCTTTGTCTCTCAGTGATATAAACATATTAATCCATTCCTGTGCTTTCTCGAAATAGCCATTGATCATCTCTTGAGAAGGTGCTGTACATGTGACAATTGCATAAATAATTGGAAATTTTTTCCCAGAGCAATTTTACCACTTGTTCACTCTTCGGCTGAATAACACCATCAAATTTTTCTGGTAGAGTTTTCAGTAGCTTTTTCTTATCGGCACCCAAAAGGCTGGTGAAGTGTAGACACCACTCCCTTTGCCATCTGTGTTAGTTTTTTTTCCCAAACAGAAAGAAACTCCACATGACTTGATGGCTTTTTTTCTTTCCCCAATTATCTCATTCGTCCCAGCTCAATGCATCCTTGACTAAATTGTTTAGCAAGACATCCATTATCTGTACCAGTAAGTGAAGTTTGTCTAACACAACATGGTCTAACTCGATATTCAATAGTGGGGGGTTGATACAGCAGTAGTTTTGTTTTGCCAGGTTGTGGATTTCTTCCACAGTCCTTTTCAGTTCTGATGAGCAATAGTTGTGAACATTGTAAGACATGTTCCATCTATTGTCTTTATGTATCTTACACCAAGCACATGCATAATTAGAAGTTGCTCCTCTTAATCCTAAAATTGTCAACAGAAATTTATAGTCACCTCCTAGAAAGAATTCAAGATGCACATTCTTCCCGTCTACAACAATCTCTTTTTGACTAACAATTTCCATTGATGTCCCTGAATACATCCTTGAAGCAGCGCTTGAGCGTGGAATAATCTTCCTTCCCATTGACGACAGCAATAGTATGATTCCCTTTGGCAGCCATAACATCTTCAGACGATTGCAGTAATGCAAAACTCAGGAAATTATATTAACAATATATAAATAGTAATAACAATTAAATTTATAGTAATAGTATAGAAATCAAAATGAATATTGTCTATAGTTTTGTGCATCCATTGTTATTTTTAAAAAGGGTATAGTGTTCTATTCTGACAGCTAGTCAAATTCATAGTCCGCTTTCTTTGCATGCCAGTTCAATGTCAGTCATGTCAATGTTTCGGTGCACTGACATTCGGCTGCCTCTTATCACCATAACAGCTGATCGAATTAAGGCAAATGATAATATGCATCGCATCCAGGCCAGAGTGATACCATACTCACTCTTCCTCTTCTCTGCCAGCAACTCCGCTAGATGTTTATATGCAACAGCGGTCTCTTTCCCCATTCCACCAGTTGTCGAGAATACAAGTGGTGTGAAGACAGTGTACTCTACCTTCCCTGATGCGGTCTCCGTATTCTCTCTTCTTCGCCATCTCGTGCTGCCTGTACAGTGAGGTTATGCTGGTATTTCGGTAGCTAGGTGTGTTTGGGTGAAAAACCCTTACATCGAAAAATGCATCTTGCTGCCTGTTCCAAAACCCTTTCGCTCTAATATCTAGCCTTGCGTCATCCTGACAATTGGCTGTACGTGGTAGTATAAGTTCACCCGAAAGCTGTTGAAGTGGTGGTTCCTTTACTACGTCAGAGCACACCTCATTTAGCCACTGAGCTGTTACATCTCTAATTTCATTATGCCTTGCTATGGGTAGTCCACCGAGAGGACATGTCATGGCATGATCTGTCGAGAATGACTTTCCACATCTACAATAATGAGGGGTGTTTTTCAACTGCCAACCATATTGTAAACTTAGCGCATCACGAAATTCACCTTTATTCAAATTGAACCCCTGATCTTGTAATGGTAATGCCAAAAGCCATGATGAAAATCCTTTTTCACAATGTAAACCCATCATTCTCTGCTTCGCTGGGGGTAAACGTTCCCTCACCGGTTGAGACATATCTTCCATTCTCTGTCTCTTTTCCTGACGTAAACTAGCCTTGATGGATTGTAATTGGGGTTTACTAAACGACTCTCTCTGCTTGACTATTGTGTCTTTGACTGGCATGCTGATTTTCTGCGAGGATTGATACTCGTGACTTGCGTTGGTAATAGGATTGATGATATTTAGACTGCTACCCCCCCCCC